GACTGTAGGTTAGGGGATTTGGATAGCTGATAGTGCAGTAGGGTGTTGTTTTCAAGTTTTTAAGGCCTGGATCCCTTGGGAAACCGTTTTCGATCGCATCATAAGCGAACTGGCTAATGCTGCCAGGATAACTCCGGGTTGAATTGTGAGGTCCCCAGTCTCGATTTTCAAGATTCTAATGAAATTATTCGTTTTTTGCTGAAAAACAAACCTTGGAAAATTGACCAAAAAAAAAAAGAGTTCCGGCCTCGATTTTCAAGCTCTAACAGTATAAAAAAAAAACAAAAAAAAACGGAACGGGATTGAGGCTCCCCAGAATGGATAAGGAGCCAGAGCCGTAAGGTTTTGTTCTTTGAAAAAAGAATGCTCAGGAGAATGTAATGAGATTTATGATTGTCAAATTGGGGGTTTGCTAGGCATTTGTTGGACCTTTTCGGTCTGCGGACCTTGCATCTGTATGGCAGTGAAAGAAGTGAGAAACTTGAAGCTGATCATTTGGGGAAGTCACGTCATCATCCCTTTTTATCTAGGGTACAGTCTCTTGCCTGCAATGAGATAATGGGTGGTTGCTTCCTGTGTTGCGGCTATCCTGGTTGGTTCTTGGGAACACTCGCTTCCTTCCTGTGTTGTGGATATGCTCGTTGTGCCCATGCATGTAGGCTGCGAACAAGTTCGTGAATGGAGCTCTTCAGGATCGAAAGAGGAGAACAAAAGAAGATCCAGGGCTTAGAGAGGACTGGCAAAAGGCCAGAGGTTCGTAGATATCGCATTTGTTTCTTTACTCATTGGGCAGTTGTTGAATAGTTTTGTTTCTTCGCACCTGAGGCAGTTGTTGAATGGTTACAATCCTATGGGTGCATTTGGAAAGTTTGAGGTTTCAATTTTTGTCGTATAATTCTTTTAATTCCTAGCTCTGATGTCTTTACACCCTCCAGTAGCCTCCAGATGGACTTATGTGTTGTGAAAATACCAGACGTCTGAAGGCCATAGATTGGAGCAGTTTCTAAGTTGAAAAAAAAAAGAACAGACATCTGGAGGTCAGTTTCGAATTCGAGCGGACTGGCAGAAGACCAGAGGGTTGTAGATATTCCATATGTTTCTTTACTCATTGGGCAGTTGTTGAATAGGTTTCTTTGCACCTGGGGCAGTTGTTGAATGGTTATAATCCATAGTTGCGGCGCACCTCGGTGCGCGGATTTGCACACGCGCAGCTGCTGGGATCTGGGTCCTCGGCAGGCCTAAGGGGCCCTGATACAGATGTGCCCGCCCTAAGTGAAGGCGGGCCTAACAAATTTCGAGAGGCCCATTGCTGTCAATTTCGTATTGGGGTCCAGGCAGTTGTGACGCGCCAGTTGGTTGAGGGAAACACAGGCCCGAGCAGCAAAGATATCCCACGACCTTTCAGGCCCTTTCGGAAATGCAGGGCCTGGGCCAGAATCGCGGCAGCATACACAGACAGTTGGGAGGCCCAACCGAACATGGCCCAGCATCTGCGACAGAGGCAGAGCCTCCTGGGCCCTACAGGAAGCTTCTGGGCACAGGCCCAGCCTAGCCAGGCCGCCGGGGCAGGCAGACTCTTTCCATATAGGAAAGAGCTCGCCGCCTGGAGGATGATGGAGGCACAAAGGCTCGCGTGCTGCTGTGCGCTAAGGGCAAGGTGCTGCGTGCGTGTGGTCGTGTAAGAAGCAGGGCGCTGCTGAGGGCAGCGGCATAGCCCAGCCTCCATAGCTGGCTGGGGCTTGGACTACAGTGAGGCGCAGAGGTGGTCTTCGAGTGTACAGAGGGAAGACGTGGGTGTAAGTCGGGGGAGCGAGAGAAGGATGATGATGATGATGATGTGAGGGCACATACCTGGTATTGGCGATGGTCTGCATTGGGCGACGTCTTCAAGTACTTTGTTGGCTGCTGACGTCAACAGTTGCATTGTCAATTAGTAGGCAGACAGTAGCTGTGTAGGCAGTAGGCTGGGCGCCGAGCGCCAAGTAGGGAGAAGGGCCTGGACACTTATGTTGGTGGTGGCGAGAGCAAGCTCTCATTGACATTTGGTTTTGAGCGTCACGATTCTCCATTGGTGTTATATTGGTGCAATGCTGCTTTCTGCACACTCTGATACTTTCTGGATTTCAATGTGATTGTGCAATCTGGATATTGTCATCTCGCTATTGCTCATTTTCCTTGCACAGCGCACTGCACCAGAAAAATTAAGGTCAAAAAAAAAAAAAAGGTAGGGGTTTCGTAATTTCCTACGGCACCCCCACTGGAAAAAATGATCAACTCGCTGAGCGAGTTCGGAAATTGTCCGTGCCCCTTGGCCCCCAAAAAAATGTTTGGGCAAGGGTTGCCGAATTATGAATTCTGCAGGCTGCTCCCCATAAATTTCAACATTGTGGATTATGAAAATAAGGCTCATTGAGACTCTAGGTTTTCCTTTTTGGGTGGGGTATGATCTGTCTCCATATATGGATTGGTCAATCTCTCTCGTACCATCTGTCTCTCTCCCCGTCTCCTCTCTTCCCCTTCTCTCTCACTGCGAGAGTATAGAGTATCTGCCTCTGAGTATCTGTATCGTTCTCCTCTCTCTCTCTCTCTCTCTCTCTCTCTCTCTCTCTCTCTCTCTCTCTCTCTCTCTCTCTCTCTCTCTCTCTCTCTCTCTCCACCTTGCATTCCTGCCAACTCTCATGTCATTCTCTTGTTTTGTATTTCTATCTCCCGCTGTGTATCTGATGCAAGGCATCCCCACCTGTTCCCTCTGATTCGTTTTGTCTCTACATGCCCTTACACTTCCTCACGCTCGGGGGAGCTCTCACTCACTCCCTTTCTCTTTCTCACTTTCTCTCTTTCTCTCTTTTTCTGTCCAGCTTGCATTCCTGGCAACTTTCATGTCATTGACTCTGATTCTGTATTTCTCTCTCCCTCTGTGTATCCGATGCGAGACATCTTCCCCTCCCAGTACTTCTCTATGATGCTGGCAGGGCTGCGTTGGTGCTTCCGGTTGTCGTTTATTTTTTTAAGATCGTGTTGCAAAGTTCCCTCATTTAGTTGATATATATGTTTTTGACAATATATTTATTGAATCTGTACAGGGCATGTGAATGCCAGTATCACGGCATTGCACATGCCTGTGCTGATGATGGAATTGGCAATATGTTTTTGGTACACCTCCTGGATTAGACCGGGCTTTATGTTTTAATCACCTTTGGCACTTTGAACACTAGCCGAGTGTAGCCCAACGTTTGTATGTTCTTCTGTTCTGTTCTTTCTGTGGTTTACTCGCTCCATTGTATGATGGTGGTTGCTCATATGATCTGTATATTGTTTTGTGTATAATCACCTTAGGCACTGTGGACACTAGCCGAGTGTAGCCCAACGTTAGTCTGCCTTATCCATGATCTTCTGTTCAGTTCTTTCTGTGGTCCAGTGTATCGTCAGACAAGATGCAGTGATATGGGAACTTCACCAGGTGGTCACTCATATGATCTGTATTGTTTGTTATATGCGATCTTTATATCCCTATTGCCATTTTTTAGCCTTCTGCTGTCCCACCTGGGACGTGGCCCAAAGGCAGCACTCTGATTGATGGTTGTTGAATGTGTTTCTCTGTGCATGGGATGTTCTCAGCGACCCAAAATCGAAGTCGATACGGCATGTCCAAGGAAGAGCTCAACTTCCTAGCACAGTACCACTATCTTGAAGGCCTGCGAAGCGTTGATGGGGTGAGTCACTGAAGGATGCATATATTTTCGGTGATCAGCTGTCTTTGTTCCCTGCTGTTTATGTGAATGTTAACTGGCTTGTCTGCGTAGCTGACGAAGGAGCACTAGCGTGATTCCAAGGCCAGTCCAACAGTGCACTGCAGCATATGGAGTGCTGAACATTTGCTGGCTAACATTTCAGCCTCTCAAAGTTTGCCAAGTTAAAAGGAAGTCTTGTACATCACAAGGAACACATTATCAATCAAACATCGTTTCGGCACTTACACAGTCACAAATTAATTCATGCTATGAAAGGGCTAATCAAAGCAGTAGCCTGACTTCCTCTGCCTGCAATGGATGTACGGCGGTTTTCTACAGATCGACCTATGACTGTCATGCAAGGTCGTTTTCTTTCTTTCTTGGGAGCAGCAGTCCAGTTCCTTCCCTACCGGTGGTTCATTGAGAATATATCAAATAACAGGCAATAGCCCAACGAGCAAAGCAGTAGCCCAACTGCCTCTGCCTGCAATAGATGTACAGAGCTTTTCATTTATCCAGTTAAGACTGCCAGAGAAGGTCCTGTAAACTCCTTTTTGTTTTGTTTTTCAGAGCAGCAGCCTGGTTCCTTCTCCACCGGAAAGTCATAGAGAATATATCAAATCACATCCACACTTCCTTCCATACAAGGTCGTATTTATTCTTGTTTGGGAGCAACAGTCCAGTTCCTTCCTTATCAGTGATTCATGGAATTTCACAAAGCTGATCCAGCTGTGACGCCCAACCTCATACCCAGCGCGACTTCCTGATCGGAGTGGGAGCGGGCCCGGAAGTTGCACAAAAAGGGGGTGCGCCAAGGATTTTAGGGAAGTGGGGTGGAGTCCCAGGTTGGAACTGGGATCTCCGGTGTCAAGGTTCCAAGGAAAAAGATGCAAATGGGTTCAGATGAAGGATGGGCTTTCTCAGTTTGCGGCCTTCATGGCCGGGTACTCAGGCTGGCCAGGTTTGGCGCCTAGGTCGGTTCTTGCGATCTGTGGACCCGTCGGTGATGAATGTGCAGCCGGTTGTGTCCCAACATGCAGTCATGGGGTTGATTGCTTTTTGCACCTTCAGGTAGATGTAATCAACCATGACAGTCCGCATGTGTTTGTAGGAAGGCAACTTGACCTTTGGCCCTGCACTTGCAACCTTCAGGTATGTTTCGTGTAAGTGTTTGGTGAACCAAAAATGATTTTGCCTAAACAAATAAAAAGGATATGCAAAAATAAACTAGTTTGGACTGAATTAACACAAATATGGCGAAGTGACAATAATCGCACAATGATTTTTGATAAGTTTTGCTTCTGTTTTGTTGATGGGCCCGGAAGAGGTCGCGGGCTGCTTCACAAGTAGAGTAGAGAGGCAAGCAACAAAGCGCTTGTACAGTGTATAACTTACTGAGTATTCAGTATAACTCACGTCTTCTACCCATCTATTGATATTGATTGGGGGACAGGTGACTAAACAACAACTTACAACGTTAAAGCCTATAGGTGATACCGGCGAGATCCAACTGGTTTGTTTGATGTACCTATTGGAAGTCAGAGGAAGCTAGCGCTACTGAACAAAACAAAATTGGATGATTGGACAGGGCCTCAATTTCCGGGAAAAAACTATGCTAGTTCTTGTGAAAATAAGATTTTTTTTCCTATTTCATTGAATTAAAAAATAGACTATACTACTTAGTATATAAATAACACTAAGTATATTATAATTTATAATATATTTTAGATTGATTTATCATATATCCTCGATATTATAATTACAATTATTTTATATCTTTTATCTTGTATTCTATTTTACCTATATTTAATTTGTATATGATTCTCAATCTATTTGACTCTAGACAGATTTATAATTATAAAAGAGAGTAAATAGGTGTCGAAGTTTAGGAAGTTGAAAGGAATGCCCACCCTGAACATTGCCTCCGCCCAGGCAATGTCCAACTCCTTCTGAGCTTGATTGTTGAGCCACTTCTTGATTGTGGTCTGCTTCGCCATGACAGGTTTGACAGTGCCCCGCGCTTCACCGGTCTTCTCATCACCCTCCTCCCCATCCTCACTTTCCGTGGCAAGAGTGTGTGCAATTAGCCGTGGAGCAGACCGCCCCGGGAGAGGTGGGGGCATACGGCTCCGACAAGGGATCCTCAGCATCAGATCCACTCTCCACATGCTCCTCACCCCCCTCTGGGCACCTGGCTAGTCCCCTAGCATTCTTCAGCAAGTACTCAGTTTTCTTGTCACTGGGCTTTACCTTGCCACGCTGGTTGGTCACAAGCTCATCGACAATCTCCCCCGTCCGAAAAGGACACGGTTTCTGTGGCTTCAGGAAATGATGAACCGCCTTGGACGATGAGCCCCTGAAGACGGTGGAGCACAGGCGACACCTGAGCCAATACTCCCCACGGCCTGCCGACAATGCCACTTGTCCCTGTTCAATCCACTGCCACACTGAACTCCTTTTCAGCAGCTTCTGATGTGCGTCGGCATCTTGGGGTTGAAAGAGAGCAGGGTCAGTACCCGGTGTTGCGTCCTTGTTGATGGCCGTTGTAGTTGATTGCACTGTCTTGCTCGAGGAAGGCTTGTCAGCAACATCTGGCACCTGACCTTTCCCCTTGTCTGCATCAGCAGTGCCCCGCCTGCGCCTCGATGCTCCAGCCCCGCCACTGTCGTCACCTGCCATGCTGTTGCCCGCAGTGATGTGGAGGAAAAAAAAAAGATGAAGTGTGGGAGGCTGTGGCTACGGGACACCTTAAGTTTGGCTATGGGGGTGAAGAAGAAGAAGAAGAAGCTGATACGTAAGATGCGGAAAAATAAAAAGAAAAAAAGCTATGGCTGGGTCAGGCTCAGCGGGGAGGGAAGGACAGGAGGAGGGGGAGGAGGTGTAGAAGAAGAAGATAAAGATTTAAGATGACGAAAATAAAACCCTCTGGCTATGGCTCTGGCCCAGCGGGGGACAAAGGAGATGAGGAGGGGGAGGAGGAGGAGGAGAAGAAGAAGAAGAAGAAGAAGAAGAAGAAGAAGAAGAAGAAGAAGAAGAAGAAGAAGTTGAAGAAGAAGAAGAAGAAGAAGAAGAATGATGACAAGGCTTGGCAATGGCTCAGCGGGGCAAAGCAGAGGAGGAGGGGTAGGAGGAGGAGGAGGAGGAGAAGAAGACGAAGAAGAATAAATTAAAGATGGCAAAAAAAAAAGGCTAATGAATCAATAATGATTGACTCTGGCTCAGCAGGGAACAAACGAGATGAGGAGGAGGAGGAGGAGGAGAAGAAGAAGAAGAAGAAGTTAAAGATGGCGAAAAAAAATTGTTATGCCTATTGATCTGGCTCAACGGGGAGGGAAGGCCAGAAGGAGGGGGAGGAGGTGGAGAAGAAGAA